CATCAACGTCCTGCGCAGGGTGCTGGAGGAGCTGACCCTGGCCAGGACTGACCTGGAGATGCAGATCGAGGGCCTGAAGGAAGAGCTGGCCTACCTGAAGAAGAACCATGAGGAGGAAATCAGTGTACTGAGGGGCCTAGTGGGAGGCCAGGTCAGTGTGGAGGTGGATTTAGCTCCAGGCACTGATCTCGCCACGATCCTGAGTGACATACGAAGCCAATACCAGGTCATGGCCGAGCAGAACCGGAAGGATGCTGAAGCCTGGTCCACCAGCGGGACTGAAGAATCTAACCAGGAGCTGTCTGGCCACACGGAGCAGCTCCAGATAAGCAGGTCCGAGGTCACTGACCTGCGGCGCACCCTCCAGGGTCTTGAGATTGAGCTGCAGTCCCAGCTGAGCATGAAAGCTGCTTTGGACAACACACTGGCAGAAACCGAGGCGCGCTTTGGAGCCCAGCTGGCGCATATCCAGGCACTGATCAGTGGTGTTGAAGCCCAGCTAGGCGATGTGCGAGCTGATAGTGAGCGGCAGAATCAGGAGTACCAGCGGCTCATGGACATCAAGTCGCGGCTGGAGCAGGAGATTGCCACCTACCGCAGCCCGCTCGAGGGCCAGGAAGATCACTACAACAACCTGCCTGCCTCCAAAGTCCTCTGAGGCAGCAGGCTCTCGGGGCTTCCGCTGTCCTTCGGAGGGTGTCTCCTGGGTAAGGGGATGGGAAGGAAGGGACCCTAACCCCGGCTCTTCCCCTGACCTTCCAATAAAATTTTATGGTCCAAGGGGAGGGTGGGAAGGAGGAATGCAAGACTATAACCTGTACATAATAAAAGTCGTTATTTAAAGCCACACTTTTATCATACTTAAGAGCTAAAAGTTAAAACATTTTGCTATAGTATTTGTAGAAATGCCAGAATAAACTTGATGACATTTTACTTTCAGATTTCACAATAATCACAAAAGCAGAGTAATAAAATCTGGATAGTATTGGCATAAATGTGTAGAATGAGCTGAAAAATAAACTGATATATTGACAGCAAACTGATTTTCATCATGAGAACCAACAATACACAGTGGATAAACCAAAGTCTCTCCCTAAGAGGGTGTTAGAAAAACTGAATCTCCACATGCAAAGAATTGAGAATTGTAGGTGAGAATAAACACAAAAATCCCTCTGAATGGGCTAAATATTTCAATATATGGCTTGCAATTGCAAAATTTCCCCCACCCAAAACATAATATTAACAATGGTTTCCTCTATTTCACATTAAAAGAACAGATAACAAAAGCAGAATTGAACAAGTGGAACTACATCACAACCAAAATATTCTGCTAAGCGTAGAAAAAAGTCCAGCCTACAGAACGGGAGAATTTAATAGCAAGCCATGCATCTGAAAATGTATTAATATCCACAATACGCACGCAACTTCTACAAGTCATTAGCCAAATCATATTTGCCCGATTGGATAGTGGTCAGTTTTTCACCTTAAAAATTTAATCACATAGATTTCATGTTAAAGGTTCTTCTCTATTGGTAATGGGAAGCTTCATGGTACACTTGGTTATGGTAGACTTTGGAGTTCGTCAACCCAACACTAATATGGCTGGTGCTGTGAATTTACCTACGACATGTTATTAACCCTGTCACTAGCTGACTCTAGGTTAGCTAGATTGTCAATGATAAAATGGCTGGTCCTGGTTCCATCAGCAGAACTGGAAAAAGTGAAATCCCATGGTGATTCAGCAGCTTTGCCTCTCTCTGGGACTTCCAGCCTGTACTTATTGATGGATGATCTTATGGACATTGGATATTCCTAGACATCTCCAAAAACTTTTATCCTCTATGTCTCACAGAAAAGTGGCATGTCCATCTGTAGCTTGGTCAGCCCTGAATAACAGACAGAAAGAGAATCTAAAATATAATAATATTTATTCTAGGATGTGTATTGCATTTGAAATATGTATGGGTGCATTCAGGTTGGAAAAGGAAGATAAAGAATTAAGGAAAAATGAGGAGGGTTACATCAGCTGTTTTAAGACAATTATCCTGGGCTAGAAGGATCAGTATCAGGGGTGTCATCGGTGTAAGGTTGAACAAGCAGTTGCTGGCCAGATGTACTTGGAGAAGTCATTCTTTTAAGGTATGGTGGCCTCCGTGCAAGGCTGTGGTTGTGCAGAGTCTATTTATGGTAGTTCCTGTTATGAGGAATATGTGTGTTAGAACCCTCCTTCACGGCCTTCCCCAGCTTCATTCATTAGGGTTTTAACACAAGTGGCTCCATCTTGAGTCTAATAAATTTCACGAGCTCTTTTCAACACTACTTCTGAAGCAGATGACTCTGACAGTTTGAACAGGGTTAATTCCACATCCACATCCCATTTTGATCAAATTGGTTTCTCCCCTTTGAACGGGTGTCCTGCCCCTCCACGTCTGTGGATATTTCTTGTTGGGTGTGACGAGAGACTGAGAAAAGAAATCAGACACAGAGACAAAGCATAGAGAATGAACAGTGGGCCCAGGAGACCGGCACTCAGCGTACGGAGGACCTGCACCGGCACCGGTCTCTGAGTTCCCTCAGTGTTTCTTGATCATGATTTTCACTATCTCAGCAAGAGGAATGCAGCAGGAGAGCAGGGTGATACTGAGGAGAAGGTAGCAAGGAAACATGCCAGCAAAGGAATCTGCATCAGAAATAAGTTCAAGGGAAAGTCTTATGCCTGGATGTGCACGTAGGCCAGATTTATGCTTCTCTCCACCCAAACATCTCAGTAGAGTAAAGAATAACAAAGCCGCATTGCTGCCAACATGTCTCGCCTCCTGCCACAGGACGGTTTTTCTCCTCTCTCAGAAT